CAAAGTGCCAGTTTAACCAAATAGGAGTTAACCTTGATAAGAGCCATCAGTAATTTCTTATACAATAGATATTATGCATTCTGGGAGCTTTAAAGCAACAATAATGTAAATTGCCTATTTGCAGTGACAAACAATATTCTTTTAGTACTTCTCCAGTATATCAGTGACTTGCAAATTTTGTCACAGATACTACCTTCATTTTCCTGGTCTTTGCAATGTGTTCCAAATGTTACAGAAACTCGTTTTATTTTATTTCTTTGGGCTAACAAATGGATGCAACACTTGTGTGCATGATTCTTTTTCCCCCCACTGATCACAGCTGGTGACTGAGATGAAGCTACTTCTTGTCTTTACAAACTTGACTCCAGCCAGATGAGATCCAGGCCCTACTGCCTCTTCTGTATTAAATACATACTGAACTCTGTCAGTAAACAGCAACATGAGAGAGGAGAGCGGTGGGCACAGCAAAACAAAGTGGTTTTCCTGATGACAGTTCCATTACCATTCCCAGAGTTGCTGCTATCAGTAAGGAGGGCAAGTTCCCCATTGTATCTACTTATGCAGTTAAAATGCAACTGGAGAAATGAAATGTAATAGCAGCAAATGCTCCCTCAACAAAGGCCAGCTGAGCGGGGTTCGCTCTGCAAGCCCTGCAAGTCTTGTTGCCATGTGTCCCTATTCCAAATAATGCAGGGTGATTTTAGTTTAGCAGATTTTAAAAGAGATTTTATTAAACTTTAGAATGAGATCTATTAAATGCCTTTTTTCTGTGCTGACGCTACTTCGTAGAACCATAGAACCCTTTGGGTTGGAGAGGACCTTGAAGACCATCTAGTTCCAACCCTTCCACTAGGTGCTTCCACCAGGTTGCTCCAATCCCCATCCAACCTGGCCTTGAACACTTTCAGGAATGGAGCAGCCGCATCTTCTCTGGGCAACCTGTCCTGATGTCCCACTACCTTCACAGTAAAGAATTTCTACTTGTCACAATTGTTTTGAAACCCAGAAATGTGGACTGTACCTGCTATTCTTTGGACAGCTGAATAGCTTCAAATGTTGTGATTACTGTATTTTAATCAAAATTTCCTTTTTATTACTTACTAGTATGAAAACAGACCAGAAGAAAGAAACATATAAAAGCTCTCCCTCCTAAAACCTTTCTGGCTCTTCTCCCTTGTTCTGTGGTCAAAAGTTAAATAGGATGTTCTGATTATCACCACTCCCAAAACAGATCAGTGGGATTTTTGTTCAAAATAATTCCTCCTCCTCTTGCAGCTAGTCTGTGCCAACAAGTTCAAAATACGGGAAGCTTGACCTTAGCTGCAGTCCTTGCTGGTGTGCCACACATCCTGCACTGCCCATGGAGCACAGAGAGCTGAGGCAATCTGGTGGAGCATTCCAAGTTTTGCCCTTCCCACCAGACCTCTGACATGCCAGGGGAAGGAAAGCCCATGGGGAATCTGATGCAAAGTTACTTGAAGCTAACAGGTTCCACAGATTTCATTGCAATTTTGGAGCAGGACCCAAATGTGTAATAAATTGGCAAGGAAAAAGTTCCCACTGTGTATGTGGCAAAAAGGAGTCTTCAACTCCTGAGTGCTAAAGGGGAAAGTCAAAATCTCTTTCGAAGTCTGCCACATTCACCAGTGTATAGTGAAAGAAAACATTCCTCCCTGATCCCGATGCTGGCGCTCATCCAGAGCCCAGAGCATTCTGGGAAATTCCACTTTCTGAACCCCGCTGTGCTACCTAATCACACAATGGGCTACATATGCCATCCAAGAAAATAAACACAGGTCTGGGAAGCTGTTTGTCCTGCAGGGCTAGGAATGCTCTTCCTAACTTGGCAGGGCAGCATAATCCTCTCTGAAAGGGGAGAGAGAGCTGCTTGAACTCTGACTAATGAGATTGAAGAAAAGCCCATCAGAGGCTGGCACAGCCCTTCTCTTGCCCTGCCAAAGCACTGCCAGGTGACATGATGCTGGGTACTCTCACTGTGGCTTGTCTTTGTGTCATGACAGAAGGTATACCATGGATCTAGACCCCAACAAGGGCCCAAAATGTTGCTGAGTGGCAGGCTGTACCCCTGAGCTTGTGGTTTGCAGGAGAAGTGGCTCCTTTTGTTGGTCCTCTGGGTAAAATCCAGCTGAGTTGCAACCTTGACCATAGGCCACGGGCAGGTTCAGTAGTGACTGGAATTTCCTGTGACTGCAGATACCTTGATAAAATCTCGTGGCCCACTCTGGGCTGAGATCCTGGGATCTCAGTGAACAGTGGTAGTAGAGAAGTGGTAGCCCATTGGGGGTTGCCAGTTGGCCAGCAGCAATTGCAAATTGCACCAGCCTTCCTGCGACCCGGTCTAGCCCTCTTCTCCACTTGGTTCTGGGGATCATAAACAAATTCCTCCGAGAATGAGACTTGCATTGATTATAGTAGAAATTGGATCTGGATTTTAAATCATGTTATTAGCTCTTCTAGCAAGATGAACTGAGTGATACAGTTTGATTAAAAACTGCAAAGACCTCCCCTTCCACCTCCCTTCTTCAGTTTTGGAGTAAATGTGTTTCATGGTAACAGGGAATGAAAGTGTTCCACAAGGGCTTTTTTAATTAAAGCATTAATAAAATGCAGTATATGTTATTCTTGAAATCTACAGATTTGTTGATTTAAACGCATCATATTGCTCTCTGAAATACTTGAAAATCTCAGAAGTTTTTAAAAGTGTGTGTTTAGGTTAAGGTTAAGTTGCCCTTGACAGCATTTTTTAAAAAGATTTGAATTGTTGAATAACCACCTTTCACCCATCCCTAATTGTAATTTAAATGACAATATGCTCCCAATCAATAGCTCTTTGTCACACTTTGAAGATCAAGGATGAGATTTCACCCCATGAGTTTACATGGCAAAAGCTTCTTTTTCATAATGCTAAAAATGTTGCATCCTGCTGTTAAAGAAGTATAAGAATACCTGCTCTCAAATAATTAGTTTTGAATAAAAGCATTTAAGTCATACTTTATAGCCATTAATTTGAAACAATTCACAGCCCTTCATTTCTGCACTTTGTTCACAGCTAAGTGTTACAATAAGTATTTTAGCCAATTGGAAAAAAAATCAGTTACAGCAAGGTAATTTGAACAACTTAAGCTGGATGATATTGTGAGTGGTGGGTTTTGGATAACTGTAGCTTTATTTTTGCATCAACTCTGTTTCTATACAGAACCATAACTGCAAGTGGAACATTGAAAAGCTGTTAATGGTGACTTTGCCTCACTGTGTGTGTGTCTAACAGGTACATTTGGGGGCATGTTGCTGTTTCTCCTGTTGTACTCATAAAGACAGAGATTTTTTACACGGGCTCCACTGAAAAAGCTGATTTTCTTATTTTATTTTATTTTATTTTGTTTCAAATATTCAGAGTCCTAGGCAAGGGCCAGGACTCTCCCGTGCTTGGTGTTATGAAATGCCAAACAGAATGATGGTCTTTGTCCCAGGGTGCTTACAATTCTTGTTTCTAGTTAGGGCAGCGAAATGTTTTAAGAAGGATAAAGTCTGGTCTGTTTCTATGTTGTCCTTGGTAAACCCAATCTAGTCTGGTCTCAAAAACGGAGCATTTCTGCTCGTTGCCAGGGAGAATACATAGGTATCCAATGAGTCATGGTCAAACATACGGCCATTATTAGACCACAAACACAGGAGGAGAAAAAAGATTTCATTTGGACCTGTTGTCCCTGCCGAGCTGGTGAAGAGGAATAACAAATAAGCGAGTGGAGAAGGTTGCTCTTTAGGTATTTATGAGGAGCTTCTCTCCCTGTGGGGATAGACTGGGGGAAAGCAGAAATGTGCATGTTGGAAAATTTAACTAGAGCAAGGGAGGCTGCATCATGGTGTAACTAAGAGCACTTAGTACATTTTAATGGCAAACTAGAGACAATGGGAAAGAGAAGCTAAAGCTGTAACAGAGTTTAGTGAATACAAAGAACTTATTTTTAGTTTGGAAGAGAAGGGGCAATCAGAAGACAGACACAAAGAGAGAACTGATTAAGTTTTGTGTTAGAGCAATGTTCTCCTTGTATATCAAATGAGTAAGAGCACGTTCATCCAGACCAAGAAAAAGGATGCTGAGGAAACAGGGCACAGGGTGCTGAGCACCACAACGCATGGTTGTGTTTCTGTGGCTTAGTGGAAAAGGTCACGTCTGAGAGTTGTTATGTAGAAATGTTTTGCAAGACTGGGCCCATATGTATAGATTTAGAGAAAAATCCTCAATTAAAGATGAAGCACAAGTTCTTACTTTTAATTGTGGGCTTGCACAAATGCAGAGTAAAAAATGCAGAGTCTATAGACTCACGGAATTAAAAAAAAAAAAAAGACTTTGCAATATATATACTACAAAATAAAGACTTTGCACTTTGATAAGTCCTCTTCTTCTGAGTTGTCATTTAGTGTAAGCTTAGGAAGCTGACTGTTTTTACTCCAGCACTGAGTTTTGACTGGAATAGAGTGGGAGAAACTCATGGTATTGAACTGTTCCTGTCTGGGCTGCTCAGTAGAAGATTTGGAGAGCATCAGGTTGGGCTCAGGGTCCCACTGAATTGAGCCATGCACAAATACATAGCAACAGATATTGCCCTGGCATTGCACTTTATGCACAGTGATCTCAATGTAAGGATTAAGGTATGGCTGTGTATGGCTCTGGGTAATCAAAAAGCCATTCTGTGCTCCAAGTTTTCCTACGTATAAAACAGAGGCAATAATATTTCCAGCTCTGACACTAGTGGTTAGGGAATTTATACTTTTGAACATTAATTTGTGAAAAGCTATATTGGTACAAAGCATTGGTTCTGTTCACGTTGTTTCAGGTTATTAACGCTATTATTGGTCATTGTATCTGTATACTCAAAACATAGGGTTTATTGATGCCTTTTATTTCCTATATGTGTCATATAAATGCCTTAACAGATGAACAGCGTAGTGAAAATGATAGGGTACTTCAGAACAGCTCGAAGTCACTGCTTCTTTAATAAAGCTTTGGTTTTGTATGTCGGGAGAGATGGAATTCACACCCCAACCTATGCACAGCTGCAAGCCCTATTAAGTGAAACCCCTCCTAAATATAGATCCAATGGCCTCACCCCTGGCCAGCTTCCAAAGACCGTAGAGGCCTGTTTCACTCCTTCCACATTCCCCTTCCAATGCATTGAGTCTTCGAACTCTGCTCGGTAGCCAGGAAGCCTTGGTGCAGGGTTTGGGGGTCTGGAAGGTGCAGATAAAGATAATTTACCCTTTGCAAGCAAAGTGTCGTTTTCATGTATGCAATTGCTCAGTAAACAACACTACAATTGCTGTAGCTATTCATACACTATGCATTCATTTTCCTGTGTATCATCACTTTAAATAAAAAGGGTTCAGTTTGGGTTTTTTTCGAGTAACCCTAAAGACAGCGTTCATGAGATGAGCAAGTCTGAGCCATGCTCAGACAGAACATTTTAACAATCAGGAGAGCCCTGATGCTTGGCAGTTGCCAACAATTGCATGTTAAGAGTAAGCCAGATCATCAAAATGCAGCTTGAATAGGTCCAGTGAGGGTGTATAATATTGCTACAATTGTGGCTCCTGGAGTTAAGGTTGAGTGGGCATTTCTATTATAAACCCCAACTGGTAGGGTTGAGTATTTTGACCACTTCAGATAATGTCAAGTGAAACTTCTCCTATGAATTGACACCCAAATACATGTAACCTACCTCACAAAACAAGATCTAGCTCTTCCCCTTCCACCTGCTCTTCTTCCCAGTCTACACTTGATTTTGTAGCTGGGTTGTTCTCTTCAAACACCACTGGATAAAAAATTGTAGATATTTAGTTTAAAGAAATCAAGACAAACAGTGTCTGATTGCTGATGTGAGTTTTTCTCCTGGTGGCTGTCACAGTGCTTGATGTCACATCCATGCAGTGGTCATTCCAGAACCACAGGCATTGTGTTACCTGGTTGTATGATGTGATCCGTCACTCTCAGAGACAGCCAAAGTGTGGCTGTAGCATGCTGATAACACTGTATTTCACCAGCCAGCTCTTAGTAAACTCCACTGGTAGAAGCTCAGTGTTGGCAGCACATTTCACATCTGCAGGCAGAAAGTTTGTCCGTATGTTTTGCCGAAGTGCTCTGAGTGTGCACACATGGCCAATGTTCTACAGATCTGCAGAGCTCATTGCCACCAGCAGGGGTTAGAGGGGCCAGGAATTTAACAGGATTAGAGAAAAAACTGAACTTGGATAAATTAATAAAAGCATCCTATGTTATGTTGCTAAAGTTTTCAATGGAGTTTTCTGAATGAGACAGAAGACTTTGCTGCTACCAATATGAACTTGTAAGGATTACAAATGGATTTTCTTCATAGGAGAGTGACCCTTAACTTGATTTAGGAGAGAAAGGATGCTCCAGGGGCGAGGATGCAGCTGAGAAACCAGAGTGCTGAGCCATTTCTCTGTGGTCATGAATAGGCTTAGCAGGCTTAGATTCTTTGCAGGTATTTAGGACTTTACCCCTCAGCAGTCTCCTGGGGACTTTGAGTGAACATTTCCAAGGACAAGATCCTAGTCTGTGGTGCCCTTATCTCCATGTGGAAAATGAAGGGCCCAACACTTACCTGTTCTCTGCAGTACTGGAGTGGACAAACCTGTAAAAGACAGTACAGATTTGAATGAGACAGGGGTTGAGTAGGGAGAGAGGGAGAGGAAAATCCTCCCACTGATAAATTGCAAACACTGTTCTGCAAAAGATTTAAGATATTTGATGGTATCATGATAATTTTTTGTGTGTCAGAATTGCTAAATATTCAAACATCTGCTTTTTGCCAAACCCAATGTGTAAAAGCAGATGAGAGAATATTTTGCAAACTTCTAAAATCACCTACAGCATTTAAGATGTTGAAGGTAGATTAGATAAGACTAGCAAAGCTATTTGAACATAAACATTTATTTAAAAAATATCCTCTGCTTTGCTGAGCCCACAAACATTATATAAATAATACACAGTTCATGAATAGGAATGAACAGCCTTCTACCCCTCACCAGAACAGATTTGTATTCTGCACCTGCCAGGACTTTAATAACTCTCCTGAAACCGGTGGTATCTTTGTAGAGAGATCTAAAGGAAGTTGTTCTTGAGAGTATGCCCCCAAAACTTAAACTTCAGGTATTAATGGATAGATTTAAAATGTATTTAGGCAATTAGAAATGGCAATACATGACTAGTCACATTTATAAAAGTTAAGTTGGCTGCCCGGCTGCTGGTCTGGGCTCTGTTGACGCCCTTCATGAATTTTAGGGTCGTAAACAATCATGGTCTTATTCTGCAAACAATGTTACATGTGCTTAGCTTGATGCACGCAAATAGTCCTCGGTGGGACTGCTCACAGGGGTGAAGTATTAACACATCCGTAAGAGCTGGCCTGAAATGGTAAACATTACCAAATGAGTCTAAACTACCATCTTTGGGTCTATGATTTTAAACATGGTCAGAATTCAGAAGTGGCTGGTTTCATGCTGGTGGTGCAAAAAGTTTACAGAAAAATCCCACTTGTAATTCAGTTTGAACTTGTTTGTCGCATTGCTTCGAATCTGTCTTTCAAAAAAGTGCGTCTTTGTTTTTTTTCTTGTTCTTTGCAACCTTACCTGTGTGCTCCCGAGGGTCTGTCTGAACACTGGTGGCTGCGAAGCCTTCTGCTAAAATAAAAGTCTCAAAATAATGCATTAGATTTCCTATGCAGTTGGGGAGTTAAAAAGAAAAAGAAACCTAGATAGGAACAGCTGTTCTGGAATTTGTTCAGAGTGTTTTTCTATATCTCTGTCATCTAGTTTGGTTAAAAAACAAACAACAAAAACCCCCAACCCCTCAGCTAATAAGTCCACAGGTGCATCAAGAATTTGAGTCTCAAACAGGGGGAAGGGAGGAAAGTTTATGTACTGAAATGCAGCCCACATTCCACAAAACATGGAATACTTCAAGCTTGTTGCTAATGACCCTCTGCCTGTTGTTTGGGCAAATACCTAATGAGTCAATTATGGGCACATACATCATAATTTGTAAGGTACTTACTGTATTATATGTTTTAAAATGTAAATAAGTTATTAGCTCTGAAGTATCTTCAAATCTTTATATTATTACAACAAGAGATACATTTGTCTCTATACATTGATAATCTGAGGGTTAATACTCTATTTCATTAAAAGAAACATCAAAATGATTCAGTAACATCCCAAAATACAGCCTGTGCGTGCAACAAGGTTGTGGTGTAGAGACCAGTTCCCCATTGACTTTGTTGCAGAGTCAATCCCAGTAGCACAGCAGAGTTATTGGATGACTTGGGAACTCCTGTAGATCAGAGCACGTTATTAAATGTGTCAAATAAAAAATAACGCTGGTGCATTTTTATTGCTATTTGTGTATTTCAGTATTTTTTTTTTATGCTAAATGCAAAAGTCTAGAAAGAAACATTCAGAGAGCTGCGACTGATGTGGTGGATATGGAAAAGGAAACAAGTTGGTTGAGGGGTTTGGTTGTAGTTTTATTACGGTCAACATGCATATATGTGGATCATGGCAATCGGGTTTGAAATGAGCTAGAGAACTTTGGGAGATGTAGCCGTAGGGGTAAGGGGCAACAAAGAAACAATTATTGATACATTAACCATTACATTTGTGCTAAGGAAAGTATTCCCGGATTGTTTGTTTTTTTTTATATGGGTTAGCATGAAAGGATCTGTGGCACCTTTGGAGTAGAAGTGACCTGACAGGTGATTATTAGAGGCCCTCATAGAAGCCCTTTCTACCAAAACGGTCAATAATACCTTTCTAGAGCCATGTCTCCTGGAAAATATTGAGTATCGTATACTTTGATTGAAATATTTCATCCTGCTACTGTAAGAGCACCAGCAGAATGACTGTTGCTGTGTGAAACATTCTGATAACCTAGCCAGGGTCTTGGACATAGTCAGGCTCTAAGGGACAGGAAAATCCCTGTAAACAAGCCCATATCAAGGATTGCTGTACTGTTAACAAAATGTGTGAAGCCAACAGATCCCACTGACTCCCTGAAGTAGGGTGGACACTCTGAGTTGGGAAATAGGAGGGCTCTGGGAAGCCATCCCAGATGCCAAAGCAAAGCACAAAGCTGAAGGGGGCTGCTGGCACCGTGACTGCCTCACATCCCTCCCTTCAGGCAGGTCAGGTTTCCTTTGGTCCCCCCTGGGAAAGGCACTTCAGACCATGTGGAAACTCAGTATGAATGAAATCCTCTCGCTTTACGCATAGCCCTCCAAATTGTCCCTGTATGAAATCAGATGCACCACTCGGCCTTGGTATATTTAATGCCGCGTCTCTTTTTCTGCCTTTCTCTCCCTGGGCCTTATTTCTCTTGCCAGACTTATTCTCCCTTTGTTTTTATGGGTTTTGCAGCAGTAAATCTGGCTGCTGTTTAGCAAGGAGAGCTGTAGCTTGATTCAAACCTTAGTTACAGACTGTTTCTTTTTGTTGTTAGACACTACCCGCCTCATACTCTACCTGGCCAAAGCTGCCAAGTTCTGGATTTCCTAGAGGAGGCTTTTTATTCTGTCGTCTTGTCTGCACATGTACACACAACCTCCAATTATATAATAGGTGAACTCACTGTTGTGCTATTGTGCGTTTTCCTCTTTTTACAAGCGAACTGCACTGACACTTTTTTGTGTTTTGAGTCTATTGTTACCTCGTGCTGGGGCTGCAGCCCTGAGATTTCCTCAAATCTTCACTTTTCCCACACCTAATCAAGAGCTTATTTTTAGCATGTGTGGGTTTTTTTCCCCTTCTACTTTTTAAGTTTAAAACGTCTAAAATACTAAAAATGGCCTGGCCAACATAACCTCTCTGAACACTGAAGCGTTGTGTAATCTTTGGGCACGCTGTCAGCCTACCTAGGATGGCAGAAGAACCTCACTGGTGGTAAAAGAGCTCAGTGTGTTTAAAAAAAAAAAAAAAAAAGAGCAAGAGGTGATTCCCTTGGTGCTGCTTTCAGGCTCAGCTTTCCAAGCAGCTTCAGAGGAAGCTCCTGGAGGGAGCACCATGTTGTCATCAAAGCCGCCAGTGTGCAATTTATATCTGACAGCGAGGAGGAGGACGGGGTTCCCCTTCCAGCCACACATGTTGCGTGGGTACAAGGCTTCCCAGAGCTGGGCTCTCAGCTGGTACACATCTGGCTCTGGCTCGGCACAGCTCTCCTCCTTCCCAGTAGATAAGGAGTGATGGGGGCTTGTTGCAAACTGGCTCTTTGTCGAGAGCGGTTTCTTGGAAAAGTGACCACGTATTTCTGATCGAAGGAGCGGAAAGATGTGATCTCTGCCTCTGACTGGCTGTTAGATCATCCTTCCCTGCAGACCACATAGGAGGAGGAAGGGGGAAAACAACTACAAACAAACAAAAATGGAGTGAGGTGACTGAGTCCAAATCAGATTAATTAGCCTCAGGCTGTTTTGTATGTTTATGTTTAATTTAGATTCAGCTACTTCAAAGTTCACATAGTTTTAGTTAATAACTTTACTATAACTTATTATTTTCAGATGTTGGCAGGTAGACAAGTTGTGAGTCACCTGGAATCTGAGGCTAAATAAGTAATACTCACTGGCAGGGTTTTGACCATGACTGATTACACTTCTCTGTCTTCTGTGTTAGAAAAATATAGCTTCAGAAGGAAAAAAGTCTACTTTTCTCACTTCTACTGCCATTTTATGTTGAAATGTCCATGGGGTGGGTTAGATTTCATACATGGCTGTCTAGCTTTCAAAAACTTTCAATCTTTAATCTGCTGCTTAATGGTTAGTACATCCTGTGGCATACC